TGCCAGCCTCAGTTACAGGTCACTGTTTTGGGGTTTACCCATATTCTTGTCTTACACATGACAAATCATGACACTATTTTTAAAAATGCACACACCCAAATAAATTCCCCAGAAAAGGTGATGCACTGTAAAGCCAGCTATGATCTGAATGAATAGAGGAAATAATCCCTAAAACCCCCAAAACTTATTGTCAGTTGCCTCATTTAAATTGCAGCTTTTTTTCTTGTTTTTAATTTCAGTCATATTCTGCTTTCTGTGCACAAGTACTGACTCCTGATTTTGCTGAAGAACTTTGGACATCATTAGCATCACTGACTAACTCTTTTTGTACTTCCTCATGGGAGTCTTTTGTCATTTTTATAGTACAGGACATTTATGATGCCTGCTATGGCACCTTCTGTGTTCAGGCTCACAAAAATCCTTCTCATCAGCTTCCACAGAGTGCAATCTGCTGTCGCTGGTCCAAGTGGTGAATGTGGTGGCAGAGGAAAGGAAAGATGGCAAAAGCTGCCAGGGACAAATTCCATGCAAGCAGCTCCCCATGCCTGGTCCTTCCATCTCTCTGAGCATCCCCTTTATTATATGCTCCAAAAGTACAGAGATATTTTCAGATCAAGGGCAGTTCCTTGCTTGTGCCTTTTCCTCGGTGAACTGACTGGATGCCGAGTTTGTGGAACTCAAATGAAATGTGTGTGGTGGCAGGACTTTTGCTTCTGAATAATCATTCATCACAAAGAGTGATTAAGTGTCAGAGCTCATGACTCTTTTAGGAGCTTATTACTACTATCAGTGCATATAGTAGTGAGGGAATGTTTTTTTTATTCTTCTCAGCTCCTAAGAGGAAAAGCAAAATTGATTTGGGAAGCAGCTCACATATATTGATATTAAATATTAACACAAAGCACTTGATTTAGAAAGCTTTGGGCATTTCCAACATTTTGTTACAGTCCAAAAGATTAAGCAAAGTTCAAAAGCAACCTTTCCAAGTGATCCAGACATGTTTAAAATCATTGTGTTCTGCAGCAAGGCTAAATCTGGTTTTCTAACTTTAATGTCACATTTCAATAATCAGAGACTTCTGAAGATTCTTTTTTTTTTATTGTTTCAGCATATTATCAGTTTTCATTGAGTTTTTTTAGAATGTCTCTGCACACTATTAATCACCATTTACAGTGCATTATATCATACAACTTGCACCAATATAGAAAAAAATGCATAAAAACACAGAATCATAGAATGGCCTGGGTTGGAAGGAACTTTAAAGACCATATAATTCCATCCCTCTGACACGAGTAGGGACACCTTCCTCTAGACCAGGTTGCTCAGAGCCTCACCCAACCATGCCTTGAACACCTCTGGGGATGGAGCAGCCACAATTTCCCTGGGCAGCCTGTGCCAGGGCCTCACCACCTTCACAGTAAAGAATTTATTCCTATTACCTAACCCAAGCTCCCTTTCAGTTTGAATCCATTCCCTCTCGTCCTGTTTCAACACGCCCTTGTAAAAAGTCCCTCTCCATCGTACCAGGGAAAAGCGAGAAACTAGAGAGCGAGAAACACTGAACTTGCTGGAGCTGCCTCTAGCAGTCTCTTTTTTTGTTTTCTGAGGGTGAAAGAATAAAAAGGCAGAGAAGTGATGGAGTTCGAGGTTGGTTTGTCCCCCTGCGGTTCCCCCGAGCCCGCCGAGCGGTGCAGTACCGTGTCCTGCCACGGGAGGGCGACAGCCGCACTGCCCCTCCTGTTCCCAAATGCCCAAACTCTGGAGCCAAACCAGCCCCAAAATCCATCGAAAACCCCCCGAGACCAAAACCCATCGAAAACCCCCCGAGACCAAAACCCATCGAAAACCCCCCGAGACCAAAACCCATCAAAAACCCCCCGAGAGCACCCCAAAAGCACCTGGAGGATTCCACCAGGCCACACTGAAACCTCGTGGGGTTGTCCGAGTGTCAGTATGCAAGCGGAGCTTAAAAGATTCGTGTGAATAATACCAAAAAGGTTTGAGCTTCTTTAGGGCTGCAGGAGTGGAAAATCCCATTTCAGATGTTTGTGCTCATAACTAGGAAAGAGGGGAATGAAGGGTTTTGGTTTTAAGCAGCTGAAGCGCTGTCCAACTGCAAGACAAGTGGGATGTAGCACTTAAGTAATGACTGTTTTGGTGTCAGGTTAAGCCCTAAAATGTACAGATCTTACTAAATGAGTAACAGCAGGGTCAGCCCTCTATCTAGTAACAACAAGCAAAACAAAACAAAAAATTATTTTCCAAAGTTAATCATAACACTACGATAAAACGCATAGTAAAATAGTACATTATAATAACTATTCCATTAAAATATTGTGATTCAACTTTCTGGAATTTTTTGACATTCTTAGACCAATTTTATTTATGAAAGTAAGCATCTCTATTTAAAGGTGTTAAGAGCTCATGTTCTTGCAAGTTTACTCAGTACAGCTGTTAAACTTGATTCTTTTTCCACTGCTCTAAGGAAAATTATGTGCTGCAGATTTTCTCCTTTATAATGCCATATACACAGAATCAGTTCCTCATTTGCAGGGCAAGTTGTTTACTTTTTCCTATTGATGTTCAAGACAATCATGATCATTAGGCATTGCCAGGGTTAAATAAACATGACCTAAAGTGATCACAAGTCAGAAGTTATGTGAAAGAGAGATTCTCATGTCAATAAGTGGAAATCTAGGAACTGCACTTGAATATTTCAAACAAATCCCTCTCTTCAGACGAAAACATATTAAGAACACAAGCGAAAAGGCAGAAATAGACCTGAAAGTAAAACATTTCCTGTCTCTGAGATATATTTGAACTAGACAGTCTACATTATTAAAGATGCTAGTGGTCACAGATAATCAATAGGTTAAACTCTATAAAATAAAGGAAATAAAACCCAAAAATGGCAACAAGACAAAAAAAAACCCTGTGTGAGGACATGAAGCGCCGGGATCCTGCGTGTGCCCTGGCAGCATTTCTGCAGCGTGCAGCCCGGACAAGCCCACCTGCCAGGAATTCCCCTGAGGACAACTGCAAGGAGCTTAACAAGATTTGCATCCATTCATAAAAGATCGCTTTGCTTAAGGTGAAGCCAGTGTGGAACGGCTTGCAGGAACTTGGGGTACTTTCAGGGCTATTGCCTCATTTTCCAGAGCCCCAAGCCTGTGCAATTCCCAGTTCTTACTGGGAGGGGGGCACTGAACACCAAGTGCCCTCGTTGTTGGTCCTCATGGCAAGCAGAGGAGCCCCTTCAGAGCAAACTCTACTATCCAGAACCATTATTGCCTGACACTGTTTCACTCCACACAGCTTTCCTCACCTCATGAAACCTCTCCTCCTCCCATCCCACAAGAAGGGAAAAGCACGTCTCGAAAACCTCCAGTGGAGAACTATTGCCAAGGGTTATTTGAAACTGAAGAACGCTCTCTGTGCCATGATCTAGTGCAAAACTCAGCTTCAGAGCTCTTATCCCTTGAAGTAAATCCACTGTTACCCTCAAGCTCTCTGATGCTTCCCATGCTTTTGCAATTACCCTCCCAGGTTTCCACTCAAACCTGGGTGTTTCCTCAGGTTTTCACATGATAAAGGCCCACTGAAGCCAACAGAAACGCTCCTCCACCTATCCCACAGCCCCATTCCGGGGTCTCCCCCAGACCAAACCTCAGGATATCTGGGCATCTAAGAACCAGTTGTTGTTATAACACAATATCAACATCCCGCAGCCAGCTTGTCACAAGTAGGGCATTTTTAACAGTGAGAAAAAGAGAAACATCATGAAATTAAACAAAGAATTGGAAAGGCACGCATCTTTATTACTCTTGTGTATAGCACCAGCCTCTTAGAAAAAAGTATGGCTCAAGTAGTTTTTATTTAAATACTGCAAATTAGGGAGCAGGAGCAGTGTTACCAGGAAAACATGGAAATTTGTATGGCAGGTTTTGAAAATAAAGTTTTCAACCCCAGACCACAAGGAGTTTTTCAGAGCTGCAGGTGGAAGCTGGGAACACTTGCCTACCCTTTTTCATCCTAAAAAACTCTGAACACATTTTTAAACAGGAGTAATTCAGAACTTCAGAGAGTATCTGAGCTCTTCTAGTAAGGAAAAACAACAATAAGGAAGAAAATTTAGCATAGTTTTGTTTAAAGAGAAGAGAGTGTGGCACAATAGCCAGACATAAAAATAGTTAAACCCCACTTTTACCTGTCACACTCACCCAGCATTTTTATTCTGTACTCCTGCATTTATAGTAAGTGCACTTATTCCTGGTTTTCAGTCTGTATTCTTGCTAAGACATTATAAAACAGGAATTAAGGAGTCAGAGCCCTTTGAAGCATCCTCAGCACATAAGAAGACTCATTCACCAGGTTGTTAGACACAATGAATGAAAAGATGCATGAAACCAAGAGCCCTTGCACAATCCTCCTCCCCAGTCATCTGTTTCGTCTCTGCCACCTATCTTTTAGGTTATGGTCAGCAGAGTTTAAAGAGCTTCAGCTTTGTGAATCTTTGGGGGTTTTTTTTTAAGACATATTTTACTACCAATGTGTACAAAAGCAGCTGCCCAAGGCTGAACGGAGTTTTTATCCTCAACTGTTGTACTGGTCCTTTAACTTTTTATGACTCATAGTTCAAGTATTTGGGAATTCCCCTCTAAATATGAGTTTGACACACTTGCATTATGGAAAGTTATTTTATTCAAAATGTAACAAAATGCAATATTCATGCAATACCCAGATCTATATTTAACACCACACAATTGGGTTTTTCTTTTTTTTTTTTTTGCAATAAAGCTTCTAATTAAAGACAGATTAAAAAAAAAAATCCAGAACAAGACTGAATAGCAGAAGTAGCAGCATTGAAAGAGACAATCACAGTGTAACATAGCCAAGAAAGTCAGGATTTTTTTTTGTTTTCTAAACTATTCAAACAATGTTAGAGCTGTTTACCTTCTTCCCCGGACCCCCCATGTATGAGTACACAGCTTCTCTCTTACCTGTGTGCTGCAATCCCTTCTTGGTGGGCTGGCTACTCATCAGGGATCACCTGACTAAAGCCTGGAAAGAAATTAAAATATAATCAGCTGACCACCCTTACTCACTGGCTTCCAGCTTAAATACTCCTCTCCACAGCACTTTGTCATGTGAGGCAGGACAGAACCAGCTGTCATTGCTTCAGAGGAAAAAAAAAGGGAAACGGGCCCCTCCGTTTCCACCTCCTTCCTTCCTCCTCGCTCACTCTTTCCTATCTGTCCCTGCCTCCTCCCTTTCTCATTCTCCCACTTTGCTCATTCACTGCCCGCCTGGCTGGGGTCTCCCAGGGGAAGCCGCATTCCACAAGGCACAAGCATTTCCCCTGCATCCCCAGCTTTCCCAGCAAGCTGCCTGCACATTTCTACTGAAATAAAATAAAATAATATAAAAAAAATAAAATATATATATATATATATATACATAAAAAGGGAAGAAAAAAAAAATAAATATATCAGAGAAAAGGCACCACATTCCACAACCCTCAGTCAGCCCTGGCAGACTACGAGACATTTTCAGTCACACAGCACAAAACGCATTAGTCAGAGCTGAAAGACCACACACTTTGTACCACTACCATGCTAACAGAGAACGGTCTGAGCAGGGCTACAGGAAAAAGGAAAGGAGGGGTTCCTATCGGTGCTTCCATTTTACACGGGGTGGTCACCCAAATCGATGAAAAATCCGCAGGAAAAGGCCCAAAATTGCCATTGCCAGCAGAAACAATGTGGATGTGGGCAGCGGGGAAAGCTCTCGGCTGGGGGAGCGCGACCTTTGCCGAAAGGATTCCCCCTCCTGCAGAATGTGTCCTCCCAAAGACTGCAAGACATTATCTAAATCACAACTTCTATCTCCCCGATGGTTTGTTCATAGGAAATACAAGCCTAGAAAAAGTGAAAGTAACGCTGCGTGATTCAGATTCCCCGAAACCACATGTACTTTCAGTTCAGACTTCTCTCTCCTCCGCTGCTCCTTCCAGCTCCGCAGCTCTATCCGGCCGTGCACTTCTCTTTCCTCTACTTACGCAGTTTCAGCCCTCCGTGCTCGCAGGGAATCTGATCAGCGAGAAACGAGAAGGGAGCTCGGCGTAAAAAGAAGAAAACCCACCCTCCTTCCTCATCCCAATGACCTAATCACTCATCTATCTGCTCCCTGCTTCCGTCCCCCACACGCACTCATCTCCTGCTTGGAGGCGTTTTAGGAGTGAGGAGAGAACACCGCTTCTAAAATCACATCGGAGAGGGACAGAGCTGCAAGGAGCAGCGTTTGTGTCCACTGGAGCAGCACCACGGACCCCCAGCCCCAAATTCCCTGCTCCCAGCCCCAAATTCCCTGCTCCCAGCCCCAAATTCCCTGTCCCCAGCCCCAAATTCCCTGCTCCTAACCCCAAATTCCCTGTCCCCAGCCCCAAATTCCCTGCTCCCAGCCCCAAATTCCCTGCTCCTAACTCCAAATTCCCTGCTCCTAACTCCAAATTCCCTGTCCCCAGCCCCATCCTCCCTGCTCCTAACTCCAAATTCCCTGTCCCCAGCCCCATATTCCCTGCTCCTAGCCTCAAATTCCCTGTCCCCAACTCCAAATTCCCTGTCCCCAGCCCCAAATTCCCTGCTCCTAACCCCAAATTCCCTGTCCCCAGCCCCAAATTCCCTGTCCCCAGCCTCAAATTCCCTGCTCCCAGCCCCAAATTCCCTGCTCCTAACTCCAAATTCCCTCCTCCCAACCCCAAATTCCCTGCTCCCAGCTCCAAATTCCCTGTCCCCAGCTCCAAATTCCCTACTCCTAACTCCAAATTCCCTGCTCCTAACCCCAAATTCCCTGCTCCTAACCCCAAATTCCCTGCTCCCAGCCCGAAATTCCCTGCTCCTAACCCCAAATTCCCTGCTCCTAACTCCAAATTCCCTGTCCCCATCCCCAAATTCCCTGCTCCTAACCCCAAATTCCCTATCCCCAACTCCAAATTCCCCGTCCCCAGCCCCCAAATTCCCTGCTCCTAACCCCAAATTCCCTGTCCCCAGCCCCATGTTCCCTGTCCCCAGTCCCCAAACCCCTACTCCTCACAGAACTGTCCCTAACACACCCTGCCAAGACCCAGAGGCTTAACCCAGAGTCAGGGAAACTTAGGGAGGTGGGGGGAAGATGGGGAGAACCCTCAAGCCCTTGCACTGGAATTTCTCTTCAGGAAAGTCCATGCTTTAATGAAAGACTGATACTAGATACCACAAAGAAACTTTTATTTCTGTATGCACATGAGTCAGATGCATTTTCTGTGTGGGTTATGTGGTTGTGTTATGTTTCATCTTAAAAAAACTGTTTCAAAGAGACCTTTAAACATTAGTTTTAAGACAAACTCGATGTGTTTATGTACAGTGAGTGTTTTTATACTGCCTTTTATTGCACAATGCTGTATAAAGCAGAGACACTAATGTCTGTTTTCATTATAGATATAATTTGAATCTAATACTAAACACAATAATCTGTAAAAATATTTATTTTAAATTACATCCCTAAATAGTTCCCAGAAAAGTAAACAAACTGAAGCCCTCAGCAAAACAGATCCCCTTAGTTACAATATTGTTATCTGTCCTCTTTTCCCATTTTCTCCATTTTGGAAATACATTTACTCACTGAGTTATTGACTTAGATGCATTAGTTTATAAAATAAATGGTAGCTGCTGCTGTGCAGTATTTCAGCAGAGGAAGGCTGTCCAGAACTGCCTCAGACACCGAACACTGTCGCCATTATAACAAAAGCATTAAAATGAATAATTCATGAGCAGAGGAAGTACCCTACCATTAAAAGGCACCAACTATTTCATGAATTGTCCAAAAGCTACCCCTTTTAATGCCCAGCTCTTCTTACTACTTAATTATGCTTCATTTTTCTAAAATGGCATCAAGTAGTAATCAGCAGAAACACACAGACCACTTGTAGGAGACTCTCCTGAAGTGTAAGAAATGAAAGCTAAAAAGTGAGCCAGAAGGAGGGAGGGAAAAAGAAGTGTTTATGTCTGATGATGTATATATTAAGGAAATGAGACTTCAGACTTGAAGGGGCTTTTCCAAATTGTGCTTTTGAATCTCGCAAAGGAAGAACGTCAACAAATATTCTTTGTAAAAATAAAGGCAATCAGTTCTTTGCCTTTATCTGGCACTTTCTTTTTCAGGATCCTAAGGCATCATGAAAATGCTCAGGAATTAAAAAAAAAAACATTATTGAGGACTTTCAGAACTTTCCTCCTGTTTATAAGTGCAGGACATAAGGCCTCAAGAAGACTGAGTTATTTTCTCCTGGTCACACAGGAAGGCTTGGGGGCTGAGGCAAGAATGAAGCTTCATCCCCTGCTTACCAGTCCTGTGCCCAACTGAAAAAGCAACTTCCTTGCTTTACAGTCCTGCAGGTTTTAACCTAATGAAATTAACAGTGGTGCACAGGAATTTTCTGCAGGGATAGAGGAAGATTCCAAACCATTAACCCCACCTTACACCAGAATTGTGTGCAAACTTAAGTTCTGAATAACATATTTAAAGGCATTTGGCCTAAGGTAGCAAAGTGCATCTGCTCATGTTTCTTTTATTGCTGCAGGAAACACACACAGAGTGCCTGGAAAGAGATTTATTTCTAACAAATGCTTCCAAATTTCTCAAGGCATTCAAAATTGCTACACTAACATTAATAAATTTCTCAGATTTAATTTGAACCAACATCCAGCTCTTAAAATTGAAGAAATTTCATCTCTAAGACATTTTGCCAATGGGACAGCATTCCATAATATTGAACAAGAACCATCCTAAATATCTTTACTTTTTACACGGGTCAATTTTTAGGTGTCCTACTCTCTTGTACTATTGGGAAAAACTCAAACACAATTCTTATTCCAAGGCTCTCATTGCAACAAGTTAACCAATTATGTGGTAGCAAGACCATTAATGCTGAGATACAAAAATGCCCCCCAGGCATCGTGGATGGAATGAGAACATGAGGTGAAACTGCAAGATCAGACACTGCCACTGGTCAACTTAGTGATGCTCCTGGGCTTTTAATTTTTAAACCACTTGGCTTCTTTGCAGAGCATTGGTAATCACTTTCCTGATTGTGACTTTCCAATTTCTAGGCTTTTTTCACTTTTAAAAAAATTTCACTAGCACCTATTTGAGAGAGATGCTCTTTTGATCTGGTATTAGATGGATGACTTTAATTCTGCCAAAAAAAAATTGCCCTTCAGTCAACTCAGAGCTGCTCCCACAGCAAGTCCTTACAGGAATAAGGAAATGCTCTTTAACAGCTAGAACAATCTGTACAGTTAAACATATTTTGGTCTTCAGTCCCCAAGAAACTGTGAGTAGAACTAAACTACAAAGCAAATATAAAAATCCCTGCAATTTTTTGTTAGATATAATTAACATAGCCTCACAGCAAGCAGGTTTATTTTAACTGACAGACTACTTCAGTACAAATGACAATTAATGGTTTGCTAAATTGTGGCAGGAAGAAAGAGGAGGAAAACCCACAAAATACTTATGATAACTCTTCCAAAGATGGAAGAAGTTCTCTTATTTAAAATTGCACCCAAAAAAATCCAAAAGAAAACAGTTAAAGAAAGAAATGCTATGAACACTTCAAGTTTATATCCTTTAAAATATTTATCTTAAAATATTTATTACAGGAGAAATTCTGTGCTGACATAAACCAGTATGAGTGTGTCCACCAAACCAGCAACCTCCACCAGGGCATCCAGACTACTGAGTCACTACCTAAACACAAGTGTTCCTGAGAATAAATAGCATCAAATAAATCACTTCAAAATAACAGTGAGAAAGATCACCACTACTTCTGCTTGGAAGTAGGTGAAGGAAAAAAAAAAAAAAGAAAAGGAAAGGAAAGGAAACAAAAAGTCGTCATGTCTGTAATCAGAGGAAAATTTCCAAGTGAAAGGAACTTAATCAGCATTTTGCTACTTGGACAAGAGGGAGAGGAGATGGGAAGAGACAGGAGAGACTTTTAGAGTAGTAAGAATCAGATTGGAACA